CCCAGAAAGAGATTGAAGCGATGACAGATTCAAAGAAGAATGAGCTTTCAGAGAGAGAAAGAGCAAGAAGACGAATGAAAAAGTGAAGAAAAGATAGAGCCAATAGAGGCAAGAAAAGTTTTGTCAAAAATTTGAAACGGCGGCAAAATTAGGGCAATCATTACGCCTAGGGTAACGCACGCGTCAGACGGCGCAGACGAAATGAACAGACAGCTTCAGGCGCGTTACTGACACGCTCCAATAAAGACGAAACACATAAAAGAAACAGTTAGATATGCATGACAGCTCATGCGCGTGGGAGAGTACGATCGAAGCCTTGTTCTCCGAAGAGAACACGTCGGCTGAAAGTAGGTAATCTTGGCTAAATAGTTTTTGAGCCATTACTCAGAAAAGAAGTGACAAAATTTCGGAATAGGTTCCATCACCTCAAAATGCCGAGGTAATAGAACCTAGGGGGCAGTTGTGGGGATATATTTTCTGAATACCAACACGTGGCATGGTGACGCCGACGTGTCAGCCGAGGTGCCACGTGCCCTGGTAGATAAGCCGAGGTAATTAAGGGGAAGCCGAGGTCATCTCCGAAGATATCGGAATCCGAGATAAGGGGCAAGAGTCCTAAGGCAAGAAAGGGACTTAACCGAAATAAGGATAGAGCTCTTATGGAGTTTTATCTTTATCTCTTAAAGAGTCCAGAGTAAACAGTAAATTGAAGTTCATAGAAGTCATACTTCTAGTGGGACTTGGATTGAGTATATTATAAAAGAGAGGCACCCCCGTGGGTCTAAGGTATGCAATTTATATTCTGAGTATTCAGTTTAGTACTTGATTATCTTTGAGAGATATATTGACTTGATCGTCGGAGTGCCCCCAGGTGGAAGAACCACCGCCGGAGCTTTTTCTTTCTGTTACAGGTTGCTAAAGCCATCTATTCTGCTTGTGCTCTCCAGCTGATCACTAAACGGGCAGTGTGGTCAGATTTTCACCCGCACAATTAGTATAAGCTGGGTCCACGTGCAATTTCTTTGAATGATTTTTGAATGATAAAAATATGTTAAATTATACAAATTAAACTGTGTGCCTTTAATAAATTTTAATAAAAATTATTGCTATGTTAATAAATATATTTTGCTATATTGGAGTGAAATACTCATGGTGTAAAAGACAAGCAAGGGTAGCCATTTTGGGGGCAGACGCTTTTGGGGAAAAAAAAAAAAGTTCGTAAACAAGTGGTATTTTTACAAAAATATTTATAAATTTATGAAATTTTTTATAACTTTAATTATTAAAATTGATAATTTTTTTCATTGATTTGCAAAAAAAAACTTACACTGAAGTACAATTTCGCCAATAAAAAATAGCACAAATGAGAAAGTGGTGAGCTGAGCTAGAAAGAAGCCGTGGAAAGATTTATATTTTTGAAAATGAATCATGAGTTGTTTGGGAGCATAGCTCAGCTCAATTTGTTAAGTATATGAATGAACTCGAGCTAGATTTTTAGATTGATTTAATAAATAAGTCAAACTCGAGCTTGAATAATTTTGGATTATTTCTTATTTACTTAAATTAAGTCGAGTTTGAGCCCAACAAAACTTGCTTCAAATTAATTTGTTTGATCAAGCAAGCGGTCACCATCGTTACAACATAAACAAAAAGCAACAATATCAAAATTCCTATAATAATAAAAAAATAAAAAAACAGTTAATTACACTTTTTATTTTTATATTTTGACTTAAATTACTTTGATCTTTATAATTTTAATTTTAACAATTTAGTCACTATATTACCCTTTAAATTCAATTTTAATTTGATCATTTCATCTAAATTTCTATTCATTATTTTTGTGTATACACTTTAAAAGATTAATAAGTATTTCAAAATCATGAATTTTAATTTTCAAATTGAATCAAAGAACAAAACTGAAATTAAATTTACCATATACGAACTAAATTGTTCCATTTAAAATAAGAATTCATCTACACCACCATCACCACGACGCCATCACCGCCACATGATCACTATTACAACCACACACCACCATCACTATCACCATCACACCACCACACGATCACTATTACAACCACACACCACTATCACTATCACCACCACACACTACAGGAAAATAGGGATTTAACGGCGTTTAATTAACGGCGTTTTAGTAAACGTCACCTTTTTAAATAATTAACGGCGTTTTTTAAACGCCGCATTTGTTATTAGTTAAAACGGTACCGTTTTGTCAATCAAGACGTTTGAAAACCGCCTCCAAATCCCGTCTCTCTTCACACCCTCTTCTGTCTCTCCAAACCTTTATTTTGAAAACCCTATTTTGAGCACAGCCGTCACTCACTCACTCTCTTGCTCACTCTCTCACTCTCTTGCTCTCTCTTTCTATCAGAGGTTCGATTGTTCTTCAGTCTCTTACTCAGTTATTCTTCTTCGATTCTTCTTCAGTTCAGTGATTCTTCTTCGATTTTGAAGTTCGATTTTGAGCACAGCTCCGTGATTTATCTCCATGGATTTGGAACTATTCGTCTTCTTCGATCAGAGGTTAGTTGTTCCGTTTGTGATTTATCTCTGTTTCGGATCAATGTTTTTCTTAGTGAATACTTTTGTTTAGGGCTCTATATAGGTCTTAAGCCCGGGCTCTCGATTCTTCTTCACTCTCTTACTCGGTGATTTTTCTTCGATTCTTCTTCTGGTTGGTGATTCATCTCGGGATTGCGATTTCGAAGTTCGCTTTTGAGCATAGCTCCGTGATTTATCTCCGTGGATTTGGAACTCTTTGGCTTCTTCGATCAGAGGTTAGTTGTTCTGTTTGTTTGTGATTTATACAATATGATTTACAATATGATATACAATATGATTTGGATCAGTGTTTTGAAAAATTGGTCTAAGTGATTTCATCTCTATTTCAGTAATTGTTTTTCACTGATGTGTTGCTCTGCACTATGAGATCTAGATTGTGCTTTCAGTAATTGCTCTCAGTGATTTCATCTATGTTTAAATTATGTTCGATCTGTCATCGATGTGGTTTTGAAGAACAGCCAACTATTGATGAAGGACTACATCACAACTGCTATTTGGTTTTCTAATTCTTTCGGAAGCAGTGTCATGATATTAATTGGATGTTGTGCCTTGTCTATTGTTTTTCTTTCTTGGAACTGTTATGTGGGTTGAATGTTTAGATAGGTTAAAATCTGCAAGATCATAAGATTGTGTTTAATTCATCTCATGGTGATGATGGCAAATTGAACAGTTAATTCACTTCTTTCATAAATTTTAGCAATTTATTCATTTTATAGCAATCATGCAACAAAAAAGGCACATAATAATATTGTTAAATACAATTTTAAGAATTTGGGTGATGGAAACTCCAGAAGTTGGTGTTAAGAATTTGGGTGATGGAAACTCCAGAGTTCCTACTTGGAAAGGATTGCATGCAGTAATTGGTGTTTACTCTTTGTTCTTTGAAATCTGCTGTTATGTTAATTTTTTATTTATTTATTTTTGTTTCAATCTCTCTAGAGGATTATGAGGCTTTCATTTCTTAGTTTTTATGAATTTCTCAAGATTTCTTCGGTTTTTGAGATCTGATCTATACTTGTGTGTGAATGATGGGTTGTTGTGGTGTTTAATTTTTTGTTGAAATGACCTGGTTTGAGGCTATGCCTTTATCTGATGATTTGATTATGTGATTCAAGGGTTTGGATTCTGTAGAGGATTATGAGGCTATGCCAATCCTACTACTCTTTTTCCTGTATTAGTCATAGTGGCATAATGTTTATTATATGCCATTTTGGCCCATTACAGAATGTTAATTTGATGCTACCTCAAATTCTTCCAGACCTCATTTTTTGTGCCTGCTTTTTCAATAAAAAAAAGACTGGGAAACTTGGGGAGTGGATTGGAAAATTTTCTCTCTTAGAAATTGGATCTGAAGCTGGAGGGTCAACTAAATATTTTGTAGTAATCATTTCCTGCTGGGACATGTGTTTTCTGTAGGTTTCAGTGCTGTTTGCTAGTTTTTCCCTGTAAATTGCTAGTTTAGATGAATTCAAATTTCTTTTTTTCTTGGCAAATTGAACAGTTAATTCACTTCTTTCATAAATTTTAGCAATTTATTCATTTTATAGCAATCATGCAACAAAAAAGGTATTAGTTAATATTATGTTTTATGGACTACTTGCCTTTAACAAAATCTTGTATTTTAAATTTTAATACCGTTCAGGTTTAGCACCTTTCAGTACCGTGCTATGTACTCTTGCAAAATCATCTCTTCATTGTTTGTGCTATTTTTTGTTTTTTTTTTTAAATAATTTTTATTTTAAATGAATGGGGTGGGACTACTGTAACCCATGCAGATTATGGGGGGTTTAAATCTATAATTGTTGGCATCTTTTGCTCAAGACCAGAGAGGAAGGTTATCATTTAGGGAGGAGAGTTGAGCTGTTATTTCTTCTTTTTCTTATTTATTTATTTGCCTTTGTGCAACACTTGTAAAATAATGAAAATTTGCAGGTAGTTGCAGTACCCGAGGATGTTGGCACAACTGGTGCTCTTCGGGCCATTGGTCACCACCTGACTACACATGATATCTTGGTTGGAGTTCTCAACTTTTGTGCATTATGGTTCTGTTGGAATTTATGGCTATTAATTCTTTATGCTTTTGCAGGTTATGAGTGGCGATCTTGTTTGTGATGTTCCCCCAGGGGCAGTGGCTGCTGCTCATAGGCGACATGATGCCGTAGTGACCGCAATGCTTTGCTCTGCTCGTGTCAGTGGACCATCAGATTCTGGTTCTGCTGGTGGAAAGGACAAATGCAAGAAACCAGGACGCTATAATATTATAGGGCTGGATCCCACACAACAATTTCTTTTGTTCATAGCAGCTGGTTAGATCTCTATACATATTTATACATCCATATTGTGATCTTAATTAAAAAACAAACATTTATGTATCATGTAATGTGAATCCTAGGAGCTGAAGTTGAGAAAGATATTAGAGTTCAGAAGAGCATTCTCCGTGCAGTGGGGCAGGTCTATAAATCTCCTTTGTTAGAAAAATATTCTTCAGTGCTTAGTGCGATGACTGAGATGAGTTTCTTCATTTATTTATTGGTTGTTGTCCCTTGTTATTTGTTTATTTTCTAAATTAATTCCTTGCTGTCTATGCCCATGGGGCCACCTTAATAAACAAATTCCTTGCCATCTATGCTCATGGGGCCACCTTTTTTTTGGGGAGGGGGGGACGCACTGCAGAGGAATGTTTGCAGTCAAAGATGTTACCGGTGACCTTCATATTAATCTTCTCTGGTTGTCTTTGTACCCAAGAAAAAGGAAAAAAAGAATTTAATTGTTGTCACATGCTGAGTGCATTCTTCTCTTTTCCCTAAATTTTCATGCCTGCTCATTTTCATCTCCTTCATTAAAACAGCTATTTCTTATCTTTCTCTGTTGGCATAGAAAATAATTTTATTCTGTACCAGAAAAGAATAAAGAAAGAAAAAAGAAAATCATTTGTCAATTTGATCTATTGCTCTTGTGGGCCTGCGTAACTGATTAGAAATTTCAGTCACCAGTTTGATTTATTGCTCATGGGGAAGCACACATGATATCTAATAATGTGTAATAACTCTTTGTTCCTTGTTTTGTTGCCTTTTTTAAGACCATTTCGACTGGGTAGTTGGTTCTTACTGGGGGCTCTGTTTTATCATTAATGTACCTTTGTTTGGTTGTTTTTCTGTTGATACAGTTTCTGATTAGAAGTTTATTCACTTGAGCAGGAATGGTGATGATGATTCAGTAGCTAAAATGAAGGCCGCTGAAGATGCCCTGCAAGAAAAGGAGAAGGTAATATTTTTTTGGGTCTGCTACCTGCTATAAGTTGTAGCATTATTTGATTATTTGAATAATTTTTTTGTCCATAAGATAGGACATCTGCAGGGGCAAAGATTAGCCTTAAATTTTTTTATTTTTTATTTCATTTCTCTGAGTTTTCAACTTTATCATATTGCATGTATTTGTTTCACTACAGGAAATATGAGTTTTGACGACGTTCATTTAATGGCGTTTTATTAAACGCCATATTTTATAACATTCGACGGCGTTTTTTAAACGTCACTTTTTAAATATATTAAAACGGTACCGTTTCAATAACGGAAGGCGTCTTAAAGCGCCTTCAAATGTCCTCTCTCTTTCTCCCTTAAATGCGCGAGCCTCTGAAGCCCTAATCTCTCACTCACTCATTTTGTATCCCTAATCTTTTACTCAATCACTCTCTCGTTCGCTCTCTCTCTCAACCCTCTCAATGGATCAATTCATCTCAGAATGATACAATCTCGGTGATTCATCTTGGCTATTTTGGTTTTGATTTCGAAGTTCATCTTATTTGGAATCCTCACGGCTTCAAATCTCGCCTCTCTCAACCCTCTCTGAGCCCTTGTCATTCTCACAGATTCATCTTTGAGATTCAGAGCGATTTCGATTTCGAATCTCCACCGTCTGCACCGGCTCGATTTCTCTGATTTCGATTTCATTTGAATCTCTGATTTCGAAGCTCCACGGCCACCATCATCTGCACCAGCGAGGTATCGATTCTCTGTCTCTCACAAGCTCTTCCTTCCGTCTCTCTGGATTTGGTTATTGAAATTGAAATTGTAACCAAGAACTATGAAATTGAAATTGATCGATCTGTGATTCCAGTTAAAAGAAAAAATCGATACGTGACTCAAGATTATAATTTTTATTTATTTATTTATTTTTTCAATTGTTGTTTCTTCTTTTGTTTTCTTTCTCGTTTCTTTTTTGGGGGGTTGGCGTTTTGATATTTTTGTGGATTTTGTTCTTTAGGGTTTTCAATCTCTGTGAGAAGAGCAGCATCATAATTTTGAATAAAGAGGTACCCTCTCTCTCTCTCTCTCTCTCTCCCTCTCTCTCGTCCATGATCATCAGTGTTTTGTATGTATTTTGTTTGTGCATGTGAAATTTGTGTGTATATGTCAAGGATTGGATACATTTTTTTCTGCTGTATGTTTGATTTAGTGAACATTCAATATTTGAAGACGTCAATATTATTCATCAAAAATGAGTTCTTTATTTATGTGGTATTTTGTTTTATTTGTCGTTCTGGCTTTATAGTTTGTAAGTTAGTTTATTCAAGGGTTTTAACATTGGCTAATCAACTTGCTTTGGTGTAATGATTCTGAATGAATTACTATAACTGAGTGAGTTTATCTTTAGTTTGTTCTTTGGAAGCTTCTTCAGTTTTAGTGTGACACTTGTGGGAAAAGCTCATTCATTGTTTGCTTGACGTATCAATTTGCTTGAGTATACATGAGTAGTTGCTATACATGAAGACATTGTTGTAATGCTTGATTATTTATCAGGTTCAACTGTTATTAATAGAATTGGTCTATGATATCTAATGAGAAAAACAGAAGAAACTGTTCTAGGATATTGATTAATGTGGTAGATGTTCATTTTACATGTAGATGTTCAATTTGAATTTTGTTACACTAACTTTGATTTATTATTTATTTATTTGGGTTTAAACAATGAAAAGGGATGTGATGCATCAATCCTCCTAGATGGGAGCAACAGTGAGAAAACTGCATTTCCTAATCTAAGTGTAAGGGGCTTTCACATTATTGATGCAGCAAAAGCTGCTGTTGAGGCAGTGTGTCCTGGAGTAGTTTCATGTGCTGATATCATTGTTATGGCTGCCAGAGATGTAGTGTCTTTGGTGAGTAATGTGTCCTCTCTCTCTCTCTCTCTCTCTCTCTCTCTCTCTCATGATCATCAGTGTTTTGTATGTATTTTGTTTGTGCATATGAAATTTGTGTGTATATGTCAAGGATTGGATACATTTTTTTCTGCTGTATGTTTGATTTAGTGAACATTCAATATTTGAAGACGTCAATATTATTCATCAAAAATGAGTTCTTTATTTATGTGGTATTTTGTTTTATTTGTCGTTCTGGCTTTATAGTTTGTAAGTTAGTTTATTCAAGGGTTTTAACATTGGCTAATCAACTTGCTTTGGTGTAATGATTCTGAATGAATTACTATAACTTCACTAAGTGCATCTATCACACTTTATGTTCACTTTTAGTTCACCTTCAGTGTATCAATCATACTCTCCTCACATTGTGCATCTATCACACTTTGTGTTCATTTTCAGTATATCTATCACACTATGC